CTCTCTCTTTCACTGATCTAAACATATGGCAGGACCAAAACTAGCATATGAAAACTAGCGATCGAACGAAACAGTTTTATTAGCTATGTACTAGTTAGATGGATGTTATCATAGTCATTTTTCTGGTTTGAAATGTAGGTACCCCAGCTTTAACCTGCATGTATCCATCTGAGTATTTGGTCTCTTAAACAACAACAGACGATGCCGTATGTCAAATAGACATAAAATCCCATTACTGGTAGCACTAAAAGTCCTTCAAAGCAAAGAATAGCACCAACAATGTGATTGAAGAAATGATATAGTCTGGTCTCGTCTAGTAATGTAATACCTTCTTTATTGTTGCCCCTAATTTGATTTATAAATAGGCTCGAGCTATTTATTTTGGGTTGTCTCGGAGCTTATGTAAGTAGCAAATTTGACTGGCCTCACAAAACGGCAGGTCAGCCAAGAGACACAGACACCAAACAGTCCTTTCACCTTTCAACATGAACAATAATATACAGCAGCTGGACAAAGAGCCTTTTGATGAAGCCCAGAGACAGAGACGCTCTTTTCTGTTAATGAAAATACTGTGTTGTGTGTTGGTGGTTCACACGTGTATCCAGCATTGTGGCTATCCCGCTGTTTTTCTCACTGTTAGGGGTCGACCAATTTCCACCAGTATCTGACAATTTGTTTTCATATTTGTTCGTCTATCAATGTTTTAGTCGGGGCTGGTGGTTTGTGAAATGGGTGTAGCTTTGACTGCCACCCCCCCGACCTAGAAATGGATTAAGGCGAAGAGGATGGATGGAAATGATTTGTCGGGGTCCAGCCTGTTGGATAAAACAATGAAAAAACTCAACTCAACTGGTTCCTCTCAACTCAACAGCAAACTTGTATACGTCTACTGTAGAACACCAGCCCATGTTGTAACATAGTTCTACACAGTGTACATGTACCTACACAAAGCTCCGTCTGAGTAGCTTGGTTTAGTTAGATCAATATGACATCAAGTCAGCATCTGTTACCTGGGAGATCTATCCTTTGCTGCTTGATAATAATAATAATAATTAATAATAATACGTCAAACTTCTATAGTGCTTTTTTGGACACTCAAGACGCTTTACAAAACACAAACAAATAACCGTTGAAGCTGAAATAAGTGCGTTTTCAGAAGTGATTTAAATGTCTGTAGTGAGTCGGAGTTTCTGATGGGTTGTTGGAGTGAGTTCCAGAGAGTGGGGGCAGGTGCGGCCAAGGCTCGGTCCCCCAAGGTTCGGTGTTTAGTCCTGAGGGGAGTGAGGAGGTTGAAGTCTGCGGATCTGAGGTGGCGGGTGGGACTGTGATGATGGAGGAAGTCTGTGAGGAATAAAAGGGCCAGGTTCTTCAGACATTTAAACAAAAACAAATGTAAAGGTTCTATTATTTCAATTGTTGACACCGATATGTTCAAATGCAAATTTATATCAGCTCTATATATTGGGTATTGACATCCTTGACTTTTAATTATTGCTCATGTAAAACCCCTCTCCGTTCATTGGAGTTGTGAATTATTTTAGAACAAAAACTGGTATTAATCGGACTCTTGGTCGGGCTTTTTTTTGCACCATTATTATTTTCCCCACAATGGAGCGTCTCAATGACACATATCAAATGATTCAGTGGCCGACAGTAAGAATAATTCATCAAGCCCCAGTGAACCACACAAAATGCACACACAAGAAGCACCATAGACTGTATATACTGTAGATGGACAATGCTAAAACGCTGGCTCAATGAAGGGCTCATGGACAAAGTTTTGATCCTCCTCCTCAGTAACCGTTGACATAAACAGAAAAAAAATCCCTAAGTTATGAACACTAAAACCGTATTACGCATTAAAAAATAAAAAGCCGTCAAATAAGCAAGAGGTTTGAGGTTAATGGCTGAGAAGGGTCTGAGGGCCGCATTGACATGTGAATTGGACCGGATGTGGCCCCCGAGCCGCACTTTGCCCATGTCTGGTGTATGAGAAGCACACACAAAAACAGACATAGGCGGACATATGCACACATGATGCACATATAGCGTCGGAGACAGGACTCTTCTCTCATTTCCCTGAGTAGCACTCAGTAATCAGCGCTGGGGTTTGCATGCAGTTCCACACCGAGCGGCAGTCGGTGATTGAGTGACTGGATCGGCAGATGGATTACGGGGTTGAACGAGTGAACGAGTGGCAGGAGGGCACACAAAGTCACAGTAATCCCAGCGTGCGGAGCCAGCTTTGCAATGCAGATGAAACGACAACAAAACACAGAGAGGTAGAATGTGCAAATATGTATTGAGTAAATCTGGGGTGATTGCAAAACAGCCATTTTTAGTTTTTGTTAGAATAAATGACACCCAGCTATTTCAATCAACTGTGAATCTAATGAATCATGTGCTGCTAAAAAGAATGTATGAAGGAGACCAAATAAATTCTTGGTCGACAAAAAGGGGCAGTGACCCACGCTTTTTTCTCACAAGACAAAAAATATTTGAAAAACAAGAGAGATTTTGTGATTGATGAAAAGTGATTGAATGGAGAATTTGATGTTGATTGAATATGAAAGTTATACCCACATCGTCAGCTGTTTGGCTTTATGGACATTATTTCAATTTAAATCAAATAGTCAACTAATTTAACATACATGTTTCTAAGGATTTATCAGAGACCTTCAACAAATTATAGCAGAAAAGCCAAATGCATGAATCTAGTGTTTATCACAGTTCATTTGCGGCACTTATTCCTCAATGGACCTTTAATGACCGGCGATAAATGAGTTATGTTATGACACAAAACAAGTAAAAGGTATACAAAATTAAGACAATAAAAATAAGCAGATTGAACATCCACATTCAAGGTCTCTTTTTTGAATGCCCAGCTTTGTTACAAACTAGAGATTTTTTTTTTTTCTATAGACTGGCACATCTAGCAGAGAAAGCTGTAAGATATGCAATATACAAATGGAAAAATATATTCCAATTCACTTCCCAGGAAGAAAATTACTATGTGTGGATACAACTCTGCTTCTCTGCCAAACATTTTTAGAGATTGCCATATCAAAAGTGCATGCATTCAGTAACAGCAGCCGGTTTTTCCTCCATAGTCGGTTTCAATTGTAATTTCCCCGTCCTTACTATATATTAATCTATATACACACACCAGTAAACGTGGCTAAAGCAACTAGATCAATACAAGTAAAGTAGGCAGTATACAAACCAGGGTCCCGGTATACAAACAGGCCTTTTCACATCATGCCTATGTCAATGGTTTATCTCTCTGAGTAAAACACTTCACCACAAATACTGAATAAAACAAAACAAAAACACTCAAAAAATTCTTAAAAGCTTTTTGAAACATGGACCAGTTTTTCTTCCATATTTGGTTTTACAGCTACAGCCAAAGCTATAGCTTTGGCTGCCCGTTCTGTATCAAATAGCCTATTTAGCGTCAAACTATGAGCATCTATTTACTTAAACCAGTAAAGCAGTGCACATTAGAAAAGACAAATCTTCCCTAAAGTCATTACAGTTTGGTGGCAGCCGTCTAATTGGTGCAGTGTTAGCTACGTTCCCGACCGGCTGATAGCATCTGTCTGCTAATGGGCCATTTCCATCCAAATACAGGACTTTCTGTTCAGATATGAGCTATCGCCACATCACACTGTCTGGAGTTTGCTTACATCCATGTTGTGTGTATGTGTGTGTGTGTGTGTGTGTATGTATGTGTGTGCGGGGACTCGCGCTCATCAATTTTTAAGAAGAGCTCCCATTTAGCTCTGGTCAATGTATGTAAACAGTTTGGTGGCTTTTCAAGTAATTAGATAAGTAATTTCTCCGGATGTACTATTTTGGAGAGGCCAACCCTTTCTGAGTCTGACCACATTGCTGTAATTTGGTGAAATGTTGTTATAAGAACTCATACAAACAGCACTGTATAAATCTGGAAGGAACTATTCAAAAAAAGTTGGTCTAGGAACCAATCAATGTCTAGTTTTTTATGATAAAACTGTATTATTTCCATAAATAAGAAAAACAAACCTAATAGGGACGTCCCAGTGGCTTCACTCCAGCTCTCGATCAGTAAAAAAAAAGTGAAACAACTAATTGAGTAATTGGAAGAACAATTACTAAATTATCTAAAAACGTTTGTCCCAGCCCAATGTCCCTTGTATCATTCCATAGAACGCTATTTTTGGCATAGTATTTGGACTAATGAAAGGTCTTATAGATTCTTTCATCTCGTCACACGTTCGGCTTGTATTCCAATAGTCTTTTCTTTTTTTTACCTTGAGAGGAAGTTTAAGTTTAATTTCTTACTAAAGACATATTTTTTGACTGTGACATTTCTGTGACATTCTCCGTCACTCAGAAAATGCAGTATATTTATTTATCTCGTAATTCATCAAAACTCTTGAGATGAAAGCTTTTCTGAATGACAAGGTATTACGAGCCACTAGGTGTTGACGTCTAGAGAGTGTGACTCAGTAACACAAAAAGAACCGGGGAGTGGAACATAGACAGGAAACGGGGTCTAAAAAGTAACAAGATTTATTTTCATATAAATAAATGCACAAAAAGGTCACACGGGTGTGCAGCCGCAGGATCCAGGCCCAAGTGGAAGAGAGAGCGACTGGTCTGGAGCCAGCTCTTTTTATGCCTCCCAGGTGATTAGCCCACAGGTGCATCGTGAGACGTCAGTGGGAGGGAGGTCTGAGGAGGCGGAGGCAAGGAGAAACAAAACACCCAAAACCAAAAGGACTTCGTCCGTAACACCTCCCCCCATAAAAAGTAAGGTCTACCCCTCTTTAACAGGAAAACAAGTGCTTCCAAAAACAACAATTATGGGAAAGGATATGGATGCCACCACCACCTGCGACCAAGTGGTGATGTGTGTCCCCAGTCACATGATGAGGCCTCAGCCACAACATGGTCCTTTCCCCTCCTGTGCTGGATACAGACGGTGTGGTCCAGAGTCAGCAGCGCCCCCTGCTGCATCAGCCGTTGATCTGGGTTGGACATCTGGGACAGGAACACGAGGGGGTTGTGGTCTGTGAAGACAGTGACTGGGACACAAGTGGACCCAACATACACATTAAAAGCCAGGGTCTCCTCAGCCTCCGGACGGAACCTGAGTCTTTGCTCAGCCTCTTGCTCAGCCTCTTGCTCAGCCTCTTGCTCAGCCTCTTGCTCAGCCTCTTGCTCAGCCTCTTGCTCAGCCTCTTGCTCAGCCTCTTGCTCAGCCTCTTGCTCAGCCTCTTGCTCAGCCTCTTGCTCAGCCTCTTGCTCAGCCTCTTGCTCAGCCTCTTTTTCCCTCTCGTGCTTCAGACGAGCAATGCGCACATCCACGCGTACATCGCGAGGGGAGCGCAACCCTAAACCAGGAGACTTCTCAGCCTCCTCAAACAGCGCCGCGGGAGAGCCCAGCTGCGGCTGCTCCACGCGCTCTCCACCAGGACGCATGGGGGACACCACTGCATCTCCCACTGCCGCTCCTGCCACTGGATCGCTTGACACAGGCAATACCACAACCCCGTTGGCCACCAACTCTGCCAGTATAGCCTCCCTCAGCTCACCCACGCGTAACGCAGGGGACACAGGGATTGCATAGTGTCGCGCTATCTCCAGCAAATCTACTTTCCTACACAACTCCAACGCCACGTGCGTTGGCTCAGCCACGAATTCTTCCAAATCAAACGTAGCCATCACTCACCGGGCTGATCAGTTGATCCCACTCACAACTGGAACACCTGATGGCACTCTCCACTCGACCCGCCTCCTGGGATGTGCCAAGCACGCGCCCGCACACAGCTGCGCTCAAAGCTTACGCACACACACACTCACACTCGCACACGGGTGAAAAGAGGTTATGCAGGGTGCCTTAACAAAACTAAATCAGTGCAAACACAGGTATTGACCCAGACTCCTACTCAGGAAAAACTTAACCTAAATATCTTCTGGGACTTGCCGGGCTCGAGGCGTGCAGCCCCCGTCAGAGAATCCACTCCGCCCAGGATTCGTCCCGAAAATAATAAACTAAAACAAAAAATGGATGCCCGAAGGAATGGCGAATAAATCGACCAAGCTGGACACCCCCCTAGTCTAGCTGGGTCAATTTGGAGTTGACTGCCACTGAATGTCACACGCACCCACACACACGCACACGCGACTCACCCAGAGCGCACGACTCCTGGTGCACCCACCGCAGTTCCACTGGATCCCGGACGAGCCCCCACGTATTACGAGCCACTAGGTGTTGACGTCTAGAGAGTGTGACTCAGTAACACAAAAAGAACCGGGGAGTGGAACATAGACAGGAAACGGGGTCTAAAAAGTAACAAGATTTATTTTCATATAAATAAATGCACAAAAAGGTCACACGGGTGTGCAGCCGCAGGATCCAGGCCCAAGTGGAAGAGAGAGCGACTGGTCTGGAGCCAGCTCTTTTTATGCCTCCCAGGTGATTAGCCCACAGGTGCATCGTGAGACGTCAGTGGGAGGGAGGTCTGAGGAGGCGGAGGCAAGGAGAAACAAAACACCCAAAACCAAAAGGACTTCGTCCGTAACACAAGGACACAGAGGTGAATCAGTGAATGCATGTTTTGTGTTTGAAATTCAATGAACGCAGAACAATAGGTAGATGGAGGCTGGAAACGTGTTTTTTATGATAATTACTGTTGCAAATGAGGAGTTTCTTTATACGGCTGTGGGTCAGAGAAAAACACGGAACAGCTAACACCTACATTTACAGCCCGAGGAGAAAACAGCTTTACGAAAAACACACAGGAATTAGCATTGGTAAAAGATGCCAAAAATGTGAATTTTTTTTTAGCTTTCAACCAATCACACAAACTTGTCCCCTCCTATAGTTTTAGAAAATTCTCCAGCGAAAGGACTTCTTTACAATGCACAATGACATTGAACGTACACATTAAAGAAATTGAAAACCTCCCACTAGTGGTAGGAGTCAAGAATTACATGCTGAGATCCTTTTTAATGTCTAATTTGCAATTTGGTGTTCTGGAGAGATGCCTTCAGCACAGTGAGTAGTGGGAGAGAGGTGTAAGGCCGGAGAACACTTGGGCCTGTGTCTTTGTGTGTGTGTGTGTGTGTATGTGTGCACTTGTTTTCAACTCCTAGTGGGTTCCATAACCTGAGATTCCACTCACGTCATGGGGACTGGTTTTACGTGGTGGGGCCCGAACACCGGACCCCACTGGTCCAAGCTTAATAATCAATGGGTAATGCTTTTCTAACGGTCCTTATGCAGTCTCTGTAAAAATATGGAAAGGACCCCTGGAGGTTTACTTTCCTGAAAAAAGTGTGTTATGTGTCGGAACCCTGGTGGTGGGTTGCGGGATATCAGGGAGGGGCACACTGGGGCAATTTCAGTCCAGCAGGCTGGAGCCAATCATGGAGCAGCACAACAGAGGAAGTCAGGTGAAAAGGTGCAAGTGTGTGGTTCATTAGGCTGCAAGACATTATGGAGGAGCACACTGAAGCGCACGCTTACAACCCACTGGTAAGTGCTGACTACAAGTCATGACTTCAAATTGTTATATAGAATTATTACAAATTATTTGTTGTTTGTGCAGCTTAGTCAAGAGTCCCTAATTGATGAAGTCGACTCAGATTCTGACGATTTAACTGTCAAGAAGAAACCTGTAAAAAAGTATGGAAAAAGAAAAATCAAAAACACTTTTCTTCAAGACTCGGAAAGTGACGAACCAAAGGCAAATAAGATTGTTATCATGCAGCTGCAAAAGAAGAAAAATGGGGGCAGGGTTTACAGCAAGAGACACTTCTGCCTCTACTGTTCAATGTCCTGCCACAAAATGTCCCGTCATTTGACTAGAAAACATGGAAATGAAAGTGACGTAGCCAGAGCATTGGCTCTACCTGTGAAGTCTAAAGCACGTAAACTTCAGTTTGATTTGATCAGGAATAGTGGAAACCGTGAGCACAATTTTGAGGTTTTAAAGGCCGGCATTGGAACTTCAGTCCCAGCTAAACAGCCAAATTCCCCAGTTAAATCCAGTGAGTTTTTGCACTGTATAGACTGTGGGGCATTGCTTAAGCGAAAGTCGCTGTGGAGGCATGTGGCCAGGTGCCGGCTTTCACAGAAAGATGCCCAGGCTAAACCAGGTAGAAGTAGGGTCCAGTCCCTCTGCTCCCTAGCCCAGCCTGTACCGGAGGGCATCAGCAAAAAGCTGTGGTCTTTAATTTCGGCAATGCATCAGGATGAGGTCACGGGTGTTGTCAAAGCAGAAAAGGGGATTCTGAGACTCGGAGAGCACCTGTACTTAAAACACGGGCATGATAAGACTAAGCATGATTACATTAGGCAGAAAATGAGAGAAGTCGGTAGGTTAATTAACGAAGCAAAAACCGCAGGGAAACTGAAAACAATTAAGGATTTCTTTATTCCTTCCAACTTTAACCATGTGATTGATGCAGTCAGGTCTGTGGCTGGATATGATGAGGAAACAAATCAATACAAGACTCCATCCTTGGCCCTCAAACTCGGCCATAGCCTCAGAAAGCTAGCAGATATTCTTGAATGTGACTCAAAAATGGAGCATTGTGTTGATGAACTATTTATTAAAAACCTCCAACGAAGCCGGCTGCTTTTTGAGAAGAGGTGGGACGTCTGTGTTTCTTCTGCTGCTCTACAGACCCTCCGGCAAGCCAAGTGGAACACTCCGGACCTGCTCCCTCTGACTGAGGACGTTAGAGCCATGCATGCACATATTGAGGTATGTCGACCTGAATATGTGCAAACCCTAATAAGTGAGCCAACGTCTAAGCATTGGTCTAAACTGGCAGTTTTGACTCTTTGTGAGGTCATCATTTTCAATCGAAGAAGGGAAGGTGAGGTTTCAAAGATGCCACTGACAGCCTTTACCTTAAGAAGTAAGACTGGGATCCATTCTGACATTGCTCTGGGACTGTCCCAACTTGAGAAAAAGCTGTGTCAGCATTTTCAACGCATTGAAATTAAAGGGAAAAGAAGTCGGAAAGTGCCGGTTCTTTTGACTCCTGAAATGATTGCTTCGATGGAGGTGCTGGTGGAGAACAGAAGGGCCTGTTCCATCTCTGACCATAACCCATACTTCTTTTCCCGCCCGGGCGCAGACACCCACATCAGGGGATCAGACTCCCTACGCCAGGTAGCCAAAGAATGTGGTGCGGTGCATCCAGAGATGCTATCCTCAACCAAACTTAGAAAGCACATAGCTACTATGTCTACAGTTCTCAATATGAAAGAGAATGAGATGGACATACTTGCCAACTTCCTCGGCCATGACATTCGCATCCACAGGCAATATTACAGACTACCAGAGGGGACACTGGAGCTGGCCAAAATCAGCAAAGTGTTGATGGCCATGGAGCAGGGAAGAGTGACGGAATTCGAAGGAAAGAGCCTCGACCAGATACAAATTGAGCCTGAAGGTAATTCTTGATATTATTAAAATATGTATGATTTTTTTCCCCTAAAGGCCACTTGTATTTTTATTTTCTGTGCGACAGGGAGAGCAGTAGAGATCCTCTCACAAACGGACGGGCTAAAAGAAACTTCAAGCGGAGAACCTTCAACCATTCATCCAGATGCACCCCATGGTAGTGGCAGTGCCCCTTCTGGTAAGTGTACCAGGTGGGGGATTACAGCCAGGCTGCTTGGTCCTAACCCTGGGAGTGTATATTGCTTTCTATATATATATTTTTATTTCTCTCCCTAGAACGTGTAAGAAAGCCATGGTCTGCATCTGAGGTGAAGGCTGTGGAGAAGACCATGACACCTTTCATACAGACTGGAAAGGTCCCTGGGAAGTCTCACTGCCTGGCCTGCATTAATGCCTCACCAGATGACCTTAGACATCGGACATGGAGTGGCATTAAATTCTATGTCAAAAATAGAATCACTGCAATTCGAAAACAAAATCTAAAATAAAATTCCTTTAAAATAGTTGTTTGGTTTCTATTGACTGTTTTGTATTACTTAAAGTAGTCCCAGTAAAAAAAGATTATGTCTATGGGTCCCATTCTGAACGGCCCTGTCAAAGGGACCCACCAGGTAACAAAAACGTGTATGTGTGTATGTGTATGTGTGTTTTGTCTTGTGAGAATGTACGGGAAGAGTTGGGGCCCAATGATCAGTTTGTGTTTTGTAATGAAAAAAGTTTGAAATAAAAATAATTACTACTACTACTACCACCTGTAAGTGTAATATATGTTTGAGATGCCAAAGTAAATTCTCATTATCATTTTTAAAGAGGTAGAAATATTATAAATTATATTGTACCGTATTTTTACAATATTAAACCAAGTTGTCAATCTATACCAGTGGGGGCGAGTCCTGGCTAAAAAAGGTCCATGACCCCACCGCTGACATGCTTGCAATCTCATTCCAGGCCGGTGGGGGTGTACCCGGAAAGAGAATTACCCAATGCTTTTATATTGCGCCTTCTTTCTTCTCAAAAACGGCTTAACGGGTTGTTCCAAAAGTCGGCTCTTGGCCCAACTACGTTCCAGATCCGTGTCAATGCTTGGGGGAGTATATATATTTTTTGGCCCAGTCTAGTTTAGCCGCTGGGGACTTTTGAATGCACTCGCTGAATACATCGCTTTTTCCACATTTTCCTTCCCCGTGGCCATTTTTTAAATGCCCACAGAAGGCAAAAGTGATGGCTAATTAGTTTCAACAG